AAAAATGAAGCGTTGGGCTCCTGAGCAAAGTGAAAGGTCAAAGCAAGCCTTACACAAAACAAGTCTCTGGAAGATGGCCTCATTAGACCATTAAATCAGCTTCTTCCTCACTTTTTTCCTTTTATAACATATTTCACTATTTCATTTCTATTAACAAACTTACTTAGTTCTTATTGTTAAATAAATTAATAAAAACAAAAGTAATCCAAATATATATACTTTTTGCTTTCCATTGAAATAATATTTTCTGACAAAAATTGGCCTCAGTAGATCAGAATCACTGTTAAAATAGTAATTGCTCTAGAGTACACTAATACTTACTCTACTACAGTGTACAGTATAGTTTAGTTTTCTCTTGTACGAACAAGATGACATTCTAAAAACAACACTGAGCCCAGCTAATATAATTAGGATTATCTTTCACTGTACAGTGCCCAAAGGGTTTAACTCTTACAGTGCCAGGATTTCAATTCACTCATAACTGACTAAAGTATTTGCTCATGCAATCATAATGCCGTACTGTCCTTCCACGAGTCCCTCCAGAGTCAAAATCTTACTAATCAAAACCCATTCCAGAACGAACAAAAATTTACACATTGCATCTTGCTCTCAAACTTATCAACTAACAACATGCTGACAAGTGAATCAGAAATTATTGTAAGAGAACAAACATATCAAAAGCTAACTGAATAAGCAAAATATATTTTTCCTGACTTCTGAAAAATATATAAAAAACAATATTTCTTATGCTGGCAAACTATATGGGGAATGGGATACAAAAGGCATGAAATGAAGAAAATGATCTGAGTCTTACAGCAAGATGAGAGATATTAATGTAGCACTGTTTTAGGTGTGTTTTTTTTCCAAGAGAAAATTAAAAATCATCTGGGGAGGCCCTGCTCTTGGTCCAGCCACCATCACGGTCACGTTTGGTGCGGACAAGAGACAGGGCCTTCTCCATGGTAGCCCCTTGGCTATGGAACTCCCTCCCTAAAGAGGTTAGATCTGCCCCCTCCCTCCTGACTTTTCGCAAGACACTTAAAACTTGGCTGTAGGAGCAGGCGTTTGCAGAATAACTGGTTTTTATTGATGAAGATGAGATTTTATGGACCACATTTTTGGACTGATTTGGAGTACATTTTAAACCTATTGAACTGTTTTAAGTAATTGTGTATTTATTGGTGTTTTTATATTGTTGAAAGCCGCCCTGAGTCCCTCTTTGAAGGTTGAGAATAGGATGGGATACAAATGTTCTAAATAAATAAATAAATAAATAAATAATAACTTTGGGTTGTTGTAGGTTTTGTACCCCACCTCCATCTCTCCGAAGGGACTCGGGGCGGCTTACATGGGGCCAAGCCTGATCAGAACAGTTAAAATGTAACACATAAAAATATGTAACAGTGTAAAACAAAGTAAAAGAACAACATTGTAACAATATAAAACAGGCATCAAAATCAACAACCAATAACAAAAATTTACTGATGTAGTGGAATTCCGAGGAAACCAGCAGCTACATAGAGTGTTGTATTATGAAACAAAGTTAGAGAATTAGATAAAGGTTGGTTACAATAAGAGCAGCACAGTGTTTATATAAAAGAATAAAAGATTTAAGAAGAATTAAGAAGGCAGAGTTTTATTCCCAGTTGGCTGGGGAGCAGAAAGATGGAACATGCCATTCTTTCCTATTAGTTGTACACAGTTGTATACATCTCCTTTTAAACCCAAAACCCAAATGTAGAAAAGGGACAAAAAAGAATAAAAGAAAAATATATGAAAGTATTACCTAGAAAGTTTAACTTCTGCAGACCCTATTCTCCCAGAGAGTTCATGTACATTTCTCTGGAAAGGTTTCCTGTAACTATTTGCTGATAGTGCCCATCCAGAGGAAATGCTGAAGGCAAATTCAACAGACTGTTTCTTTTAGCTACTGCCTTCTCTAGCTGGCGTTTCCTGAGAAGGGAAGGGGATTGTGACCATCAAGGCCTTCCCATCCAGTTTTCCTAATCGCAGAATGAGTGTCAATGGTTAAATTGCCACAACAATGTCAGAACACACTGGGATGCTAACTCTACAAAACACTGCATGTCAGATATACAGATATTCTTGCTTTACTAAACGAAATAGCAGTGAAGGTGATTACTGGGCTTGCAAGGGTATACTGATTGGCTAAAAGAATTTGTCCATGAACGTAATGTAAACATTGTTGAGCCGTCTACAAGTCTGACCTTTAAGGCCTGTGAGAGCTTTAAAGAAACAGTGACATCCTCCAAACAGTCACATTTTGAGCATTTTACATTTCCTATCTTTGGGGCTTGGAATCCCTATTTATGGTGATGGATGAGAATTTGAGTGCTTTACATCTCTATGCCTATGAATACACTCTCGCTATCAAGAAAGTTTCTCAACTTGCTCCTGATACACAAAAAATTCAAGAAAGTTGACATTTTCCTTTCTAATATTAGCATAATATTTTTTTAAGGAAAGGCTGACTATTAATTCTAAATCACAGAATAGACTATTAAACAGAAATTGGGAAATATATTATGAGTTTTTTAAACTGTTAACTAATTATGAATAAACATGACTTTTTTCTTTGCTAATTCAGTTGCTACCACTGATTACTTGTCTGAGAAAACTTGTCTGAGAAAGTTGAAAATTTGCCACTCTTGTTCCGAGCATTTCTCTACATATACACAGAAGAATGCACTTCTGGGGAGAAGTTGTTTTATCAAGATCCAGTGGACTGTTTAAGAAATGAAAGTAAATTTCAATGCATTGTTTCGCAGCAAACCCAAGTTTGCCATTGAGTATTAATTCAGAAAGCAGAAGAACAATCCTTGACTCTCCCTGAACGATACACCAAATATATTGTGTCTAAAAATATGTGTAAACATTCTTATGGTGAAACAGCTCTGTGAATCTACACTATAGAATTAATGCATTTTGACACTACTTTAACTGCATGGCTCAGTATAATTTGGGGAGCTCAAGTTTCACAAGGTCTTTAGTTTTTTCTGCCAAAGTGCTGGTGCTTCACCAAACTACAAATCCCATGTTTCCGTAGCATTGAGTCATGGCATTAAGGTAGTATCAAATTACATTAATTATACAATATTCAGTGGTTACCAGCCATTGGTCCTCCAGGTGTTTTGGACTTCAACTCCCAGAAATCCAGGCCAGTTTACCAGCTATTAGGAATTGTTGGAGCTGAAGTCCAAAACACCTGGAGGACTAAAGGTTGGGAACCACTGGTAGATGCACCATCTGGCCTTGATTCAGTGGGCTTTTTAGAGAAGAAAAAACATGTCAGAAATTCAGTACTCAAGCCTCATGTGTAGTTGGGCTCCATTTGTGTGGATATCCCTACAATTATGTTCATGTTCTTGAAAAAACATGTAAAGGATCACAGTGTATGTATACATTGTGGAGAATGAAAATATATTTTCACTGTTATAAGAAATATTCACCTGGTTTAATTAGCACATTGTTTACAATTACCACAAATATATAAAGAAATCTATCACATAGCATAACCCCATCTATTCCAACAGGCAAAAACCACCCTATAAACAATTTCAATAGGATCACCTGGTATTTTAAATCTTTTCAACAAAATGATTAAAGGCAGACACTCTCCCCACTTTTCCTCATACAAAGGACAATCACACCTGACCGCCACACATCTGAAATGTCATTCTTTACAGACCAGTACAACAGGCTTCCACATTGTATTGTTCTAACTATAATATACAATACTATAAGAAACCACTGTGAAAACAATTTTGTGACATTGTATAAATGGAAAACATTTTACATTCCATTTAAAATGTTTTAAAGGGGTGCAGGGACTGAGGTTTTTTAAAAAATTGCAACACCTAACTTAGGTGATCTTTTGGCACATTATCCCTTTCTGCTGTGTTAGTGGCATTGAAACCAATGACATGAACAGTTTTGGGCTGTATCCATTTGCCCATGAAAAAGACCCCTTGAATCACAATGAGACATATGTAGGATTACATTGTGAATTGTACAGGGGAAAAAAATCACGTACTAAGGAAGCCACTTCCAACTTGATGCCCTCCAAATATTCTGGATTTCAACTCAAATCATGCCTACCCAGTCAGCATGGTCAATGGCAATGAGTGCTGGTAACTGTAATCCAGAACCTTTAGGATGGTACCAGGGGAACTATATTATGAAGTAAAACATCACTGATAGTAGTGGGAATTACAATATAAACTTACATTCTAACTCAGAAGGAAGCAACACTGATTTTGATGAGAAATATTTCTGAGTAAGTATATATACAGTACACTTCTGCTGTGCTGAAGCCATGGTGAGTAAACAGGCACAATACTTTTGCAATCCTGAAAACATTAACTGGGGGAAGGGGAATCTTCCTGATTTAAATCAGACCATGTGCAAGTAGAAATGTGCAAACAAAAGTGTCTTTTATTTTTAACAGGGCTACTTGTGAAACATGCTATGGATTGCAGCCCTGGCAATGGCTGCATGGATGTGAGTATTTGTGTGTCCGTGGTGTGAGTTGAGATGTCCTTTTTTCTATGGTGAGTTAAAAGCGTTTCAACTGGCTATTGAAGCCCCCTTTTTAATCTGCCAATACAAATTAAATTTTCAGTTTAGAACCAGTATGAATTGCTGCATCACAGCTGGAGCATACGTCTGTCATGATATTTACTTATAACACACAAAAACAAACTGTAGATAACGAAATTTGTAAAGGAATTGGCAGAACTAATCAATTGTTATTGCAAAGCTTGTTTGAAGATTAGTTATTTAACTCTGAAATAATAATAAAAATACAGCTAAGTAGGTTGAGAAAAGGAAATCAGTGTCTCCCTAAGTTACAGCTGATTACCCCACAAGCCTGCCACTCTGTGTTTATGCTAAGGCAGATGTACTGATATAATAAAAGACACTGGAGTTATTTTAGTCATGCCTACTTTGCACAGGGGAAAAAAAGCTTGACCTTTTACCTTGCTCGCTGCTGTTGTCTCCACTCTGAGAAGCATGGCCCCCACTGGAAGGCCCCGGTGTGCCTGCTGAGTGCGTTGAGGTGGCATCGTCGTGGTCTCTCCAAGAGGAAGGATTCTGGTGTCACAGTATTGGTTTATTTTGTCATCACAGTTATCATTCCCATAGCAAATCCAGGAATTTGGGGAGCAAAAGGATGGGAGGGGAGGTAAAAAAAAGTAGATACATTAGCATTTGAAAAATGTCCTCGAATGCAAATCCCATTTAGAGATGGAGCACACTAAAACTACAATCCTGTAATATTTACCAATAGGTAAGCCCCACTGGACTTTCCTTGTAATAGGTATAAGATTAAACATACAAATCAACTTTATATTCCAACAGCATTAATTCAAGGGCATAATTTGCTCCCAAATTAAGGGTGCTCCACATAACAATTTAAAAATCCCACCTGCCCATAAAAGAAATCCCAAAGTTTGGGATTTTTTACACACTCAGAAGCAATATGCTTTCAATTCTTTTTAAAAAAAATAAAACTTTTGATAAACTTGTGGTGTTATTTTAACTCTCTACACTACAATCTGAGTGATGCAGTGCAATCCTATCCATATCGACTCAGAAATAAGCTCTACTAAGTTCACTGGGACTTATGTCAAAGTAAATGATTACAGAATTGCAGGTCTAACAATTAAATAAAAATGTTATGAATAAGATCAGATTAATAGCTGAGCTCGTGTGTTCTCTGTTTTTTTATGTTTTCTATTACCTCATCTTCCCCAACAACTCTTTGCCTATTATAATCCTGAGATAAATTAATTGATAATTATGCCTACAAAATATCTCTGCCATATGGTTACAAAAAACAATGTAAACAAATGCATGCCTGATTAAGAGAGATAGGAAATGCATTTTTTAAAAGGTGACACATTTAAAAGTTTTCTAGATGTCCAAGACCATCCACAGTAACCGCAAGCTAATTAACCTGTCTGCTCAAGTGACAGCATTATTTTATTGAAATATAATTAAAGAGAGCACAAGGGGTAATAATCATAGAATTGTTAGCAAAAATTTACAAAGTTCAGCCTCATAACTCCTGCTGCTTTTCAATTTCGTGACTATTCTTTTTCTCTGGAAAGAAAAACTGCTGTTTTAGAAGAGTAAGTGAAGAGAACTGAAAGTTACAACTGAGTGCTACTTCGTGAAGTATATTCTCCTCTTAGTCCTCCTCCCCTTTCCTGATCATTCCCAATACCCTGCTGCTGCTTAAAGGAAAACAGGAATTCTACTGTACAGGAAAAGCTTTATCAGCACCACATGAAGGCAGGCAAGAGATGGAATTTCCTCTGGCAGAAAAGGAGAGTAAGAACACATGCAATAGATCAGACTTAGGGCTGGACCTGCATTACTTGTCACCTATATATGACTATTTAAATTAAACATTCCCTAACAAGAAATTGTTTTTTGCTAAATAATCTGTAACAACAAAACAGAATAGCTTCCAAATTGTTTTCTGCATGTAAGTAGCATACATGATGTTTAACACACGTGTGTGTTGTATGTTTCATATAGGTGGGGAATCATCGTCCCACAGAGAAAGATCCCTTGTTATACCAACCAGTAGCTATTAGTTGTAAGTACACTGAAAACATAAGTGTAGAGAGCAGTCAGAATCCAGCTGTATTATTATTCACACAAAATGTTTTAGTGCCACATGCGGAGAACCCAAAGACTACATCCTACAAATGCTCAGTTCCACCTGGAAATAGAGGTGAGCAATTCTCCTTCCCACATATATCAAGGACTTGTTTTCTTTCTTTTAATGACATCCAAATTGTCACAGCCTAAGGCAAGTATGACCTGTCGACAACAACACTATTTTATGTTATCATCTACAAACATCTAATGAATACTATTTGTCTTACAACTATATTAAGTTAAGCTGCATAGTAATGTTCTACTATCACACTTTCACATAAACTAAATAGATATTATCCTGAGTCCAGAAGAAAAAAGAATGCTACCCATTGAACAATGTCAGAGCTACATAAAATAGCCCATGAACAATAATCATACAAACTTCTTACTTAGGTCAACAGAACAATCTATCAAATAAAATCATACCTAAAATGCAATGTTTAAAACATAAATTTCAGGTTAGTCAGCTGATAAATGTATGAAGCAATTTCAACATGATCCAGAACCACAACAAACAATAGCAATGAAGCACAATATTGATAAGATCAGTACTTCAAGTAAAAATACAGCCGTTATTTATATTTCTCCCAGTAAAAAAATAATAATAATACCATCATGCTGCAATGTCCAGTTGCTATAAACCCAAAAGGAAAAGTAGAATGCAACAAAAAATACTATACAATCAAATAAGTATAGCAGATGAAATTTTAGGGAGTCTTGTATGGAAATAAAATGCCACGATCAAGCAAGTATCTGTGCAGTCTCGATTAAACGGATTGCGCCTATGAGCTCCTCTTTTTATCTCTGAGTTAGGAAACCACTCAAATAGCTTCAAGCTAAAGGCAAACAGCAGACAGGAGCACTTCAGCCCTCTGTAGCCTCTTAGCGTCAGCTGTTTGCCGGATGGTAATCAGATAAAGAGCTAGAAGAAACACATGAAAAGGGCAAGAAACAATAGCATGGCATGAGTTTAGCCCTCCACCATCATGCTGGAACCTACTTTTATACATCCCATAATTGCAACATGTTGGCCTGGGCTAAACTTTTCACCAGTGTTTAACAAGTTATGTTAATTTTGTGCACAGAAGGGTTTGTTAAGCTGGCTGCTGCTAAAGTCCCTCAGTTCACATATGAAAATTTCAGTAATCAACCACTAACGCCTCAACTACATTTAAAAGTAAATGTCAACCAAAATTTGTCATACAATTTTTCAAAAGCTAGGCAGGCTTTTTGTTTCTTAAACCATAAATGGCTTGGAGTGGATCACAACAGGTTTCCTAAGAATGAATATATTTGGGCAGTTTAGGAGTTCGAAAAGATAATGCATTGTAGTTTTTGTTTTTTGTTGTTTAATTTTTTTAAAAAGGACAAGGTAGTAGTATCTTCCACACAGCTGAAAATCCCACATTATCTGCTTTGAACTGGAATATATGGCAGTGTGGACTCAGATAACCCAGTTCAAATCAGATATCTGCCTGGATATTCTGAGTTATGTGGTTGTGTGGAAAAGCCCTTAGACTATCAAATAGTCAGAGATGTTCTCCCAAACACAATATAGATAAGGTAAGAAGGGGGAACCAAGCCTATCTTGGAAAGCTTTTTTTTCATATTCCAGTTATATGTAGACTGACCACCTGTTGCTATGAAATTGGGCCCAGGTATCTGAAAGACTGCATCCACTCTTTTGTTCTATCATGGTTTCAGATTGAGCAGCAGAAGTTTATCTACAAACCATGTTGATATCAAGAAACACAGAGAGATGTTCTCTATGGATGTTTAAAATTGTGCAATGCTCAGTTACTATAGACAGTGGCCTAATTGGCATTCCTATTTTTGCATGTTGAGAAGTTATGTTTAAATTTTGAATTGACTGCAATGTCTTCTGGATGGTGCATGACATTGCACACCCTGGTTGAACCCACTTTTTGAAATGACATTTCTTGTGCCTCTAAGCTTATTCTCAAAACTGTTCAAGGCCATGTCTATTGTATTTTTCAGTCAACCTGTGCTACCTTTCAGGCATAGAGAGCCTGTGGCATTATCATCATATATGTGTGTAATATATCTCAAATCTTTTTTCTAACTTCATATGTGTGCTGCAGTGTCATGCCAAAAATCTGACATGTGACATATACTTCATTTTGGGTGGGCTAAATGAGCAGACAGAGGGTGACAGCCAGAGAAATGAACAGGTTTCTATACTTGTGAGATGTCCTCCATGTAGACAACACATGTTGCATCATACAGAAGCCAATTTGAGTGTATACAGACCCTCTGAAAAGATTGATCTACATTAGATTCAACCCACAAATACTTATGTAAATAAGACTTTTTATTGACAATATGGGCTTGACAACTATTTTTGTAGATTTAAAATTTTAAAATAATAGCTCTAAAAATGTTATCCACCCTAGGCAATAAAAGTGGAGCAGGGTAGCAAATTCATTAGCTATGCACAAGCACAACAACATATTCCTTAACTTTGCATACACAATTGCTGTCTATGCATAAACAATAAAATATATGAAGATGTTGTATTTAATCACCAGCTAAACGTGCTCTACCGTGTAAGGCAAAATGCACATGTATCTATTCCCTGTAGTTTTAATAACTGGGAGTCAAATATGGCGCTCCCCTTGCTCTTACCTAATTGTGTTAAAGAGCAGTGTTACCAGGAGAAAAGCAGTGAATACTGAGTGGCGCACAATAGAAGGAGATGGAAAATAGATACAAGAAGCTAAGTCTCCAGGGGCAGTATTTTCTATTTGCTGGGCTACAGACTCACAGCTGATAATGCAAGTTGTAATTAATATAAAAGCAGGAGACAATATGGGAAAGGCTTGTACTAGCAGGGCCACAAGAGATCACTCTGCAGCTATCCGCTGTTTCTCATTTATGCACACTGCCTTCCAGAGAAACACAATTTTGCTAGTGTTTTTTTCCCTTGAAAGTTAAAAAAATTGATTTAGCACTACCATTGAATTTTGCTAAACCTAGAGAAGGCAGGAAAAGGACAAAATTCTCAAGGTATGCTAAGCAAATCTGCTGTGTTGCCATTTTGCTGTTACAAATCTAGCAGAAGTTTGAAGTGTTTTAACTACTACAGGATTTGGAGGGTTTCTTAAAGGAACTATCTTCAAAGCAAACCTGTTCTAGTAACTATTTGTTACAATTTTACATAGGTATGTGATTTCTTATGTGCCTGGGTACTGGTCACTGATCTTGCTCAGTGCCAAGGACAAGAGTTTAACAAGCTTCAGACTTCTGTGTAAATGACAGCTTACACAGATACAGATGGATTAACTCCACATTCCTTATGCAACTCAAACTTCCACTGGGCCAAATCACTTTAATTATGCAAGGACCTCCTCTGGGACTGATTCTGATCTCATACTGCTTTTATAGTGCTTCAGCTCAATTTG